ATTATTATACAGATGCAAAGTCGTTCTGTAGGATACTATTTTGTTTTTTTGTATTTTTACTTAGTGTGAAATGGAAATGCATGATAATTGTATTTTATAAATATAAGCAAAAAAAAAAACTGTATGGTGTAACAGAGTTTTAGAGCTAGACAAATCTCTTTGCAATAATAAATATAAAATTTACAGCAGACCATGTTTGTGCGGGATTTGAACCCGTGTCATCTTGATGATGAACCGTAAGTTCCGCTCAGCTATGAATTTTCTCACTGAGAAATACTCAAACGTCTGTTTCTGACATGAGCAAGAAAACGTTTTGTCTTTAGCCTGTGAGAGTGTAGGCCTACTTTAGCCTTTTAAAGTTTTAAAAGATTATATCTTATCTGTATGACCAACAATTTGTTGTAGGCTTATTTGGAAATTACCATAACTTGTAGTATTTCATCCTTAGGCTACTGTTAATAGACATTAGCCCCACTTACGTTTTGCTAAATGTCCCTTTGCGCCACCTGGCGGTCATTTCGCGAACGACTTTGCAATGCGACTGGTTTATTTTTACCGCGGTGGATGGCTAAAAATGGTATGTGGATGGCTAAAAGGTGTGACTATAAATGTGCTTTTGGCTTTCATTTAAATTTTGATTGTTTGTATATATATATATATATATATATATATATATATATATATATGTGTGTGTGTGTGTGTGTATAAACATTTATTTATTTATATACACTACCGTTCAAAAGTTTGGGGTCGGTACGATTTTAAATACTTTTAAAAGAATTCTCTTCTGCTAACCATGGCTGCGCTTATTTGATTAAAAATACAACAAAAATCAGTTATAGTATTAAATATTATTCCAGTGTAAATCAGCTGTTTTCTGTGTGAATATATAGTAAAGTGTAATTTATTCCTGTGATCAAAGCTGAATTTTCAGCATCACCAGTGTCAGTGTCTTCAGTGTCAAATGATCCTTCACAAATCAGTATAATATGAGGATTTGATGCTCAAGAAACATTTATTATTATTATCAATGTTGAAACAGTTGTTGGTCTGTCAGTTGTACAGTTTTTTTGTTTGTTTTAGGATTCTTTGATGAATAGGAAGTTCAAAAGACTTTTGTAACATTATAAATGTCTTTACTGTCACTTTCGATCAAATTAATTATTCCTTGATAAATAAAAGTATTGTTTTCTTTCCTCCAAAAAATAAAAATAAAATTCTCACTGACCCCAAACTTTTGAACGGTAGTGTATATATATTGTCCTTGCATTCTTTCTTGTGTGACACCCCTGATTGAAAGGCTCATTAGTATGCAGTCTGCTCAGGTGAGAACTGCCTAATTATTCATGAGGGGGTTGGGCCGTTCCACCCATCCGCATATTGCCTTTGCAAACAAAAAAATGTTTTTCACAATTTAAAACAATCTATTGTTTTATGTGAATGATAAGGCAGAATGATTTTCAGATCAATTTGAAGCAAAAACTCTAGGCGATAACATCCACTAGTCAAAAGTCTTGTGGACAGATATTTAGTATGTTATTTGTGGCCTTATATTATAAACTTTATTTTTTAGTTTTTTCAATAACCACGCATAAACAATATTCTCTCAAAAATACAAACATGTACATACATGTTGCTCACATATTATGGTAGCCCTGTGTGTGCTATATAGAGTGTAATTTCACCTGTGCCATTAATATGTTTATAAGCAACTGAAAAAAGCACAAATGTCAGAGCATGCCAAAACATCTCAAGGACCCCGAAAACACCTCAGACCCCAGAGGGTTAAACGTTGTGCCTGGGGCATTTGTAACACACATACGCGTTTCCCAGAGAGGTTGGAGGGGGGTGTGCGTTTTTTTTCCTTCCCAAACCGAAGTCAAATCCTGACAAGTGTCGTCTAGCACACGCTGCTAATAAATACAACGCTATACTCGCGTAGTCCGTTTGCTTCGTAATAACGATTATAGAAGTGAATAGAGACCTACCCAGCTTTGCATGAACAGTGTTGCTCTTTGATATTGTTAGTCCCAGCCTCCGTCTCCATTAGTAGGATATGCGGTGGGTCATTTTTTGACTGTGACCGGTATGCTTTTGCCTCTATTTGGATGCCTTGTTGTTCCTTGCGTTTCACCTGTATGTCGTGAATATAGCCTTCGAACGTATATTGCAGCCCCTTTTGCCTACTTCTATCGGACACTTTATTTGCTGCTTTATAAAAGTTTGATCAAATTTCAGCAGGAAGAGCTGTCACAGCATAAGCCATGTTGATACCAGAGCCCAGATGAAGTTTGTTTGTCGGACGTAGCAACAGTAACTACGGGGGGCGGGGCTTAGCCTAAGGCGAATTCATGACACTTTAGGAATGGATGTTAATAATTATGTTTTTCATAGGGGTGATATCCAAAATTCAGACATATTCACCAAAGTCTTACTTAGGCCAGAATAAATTACACCAAGACTGACCACTTAGCAACAACCTAGCAACGCTACATTGCATTACCTTTTTTCATGGGCAAACACCACTTGCATTTTCTTTAGATACATTCAAGGTTCCGTTCAAGTCATGCTTATTCAAGCTTGGAGACAATTAAAAAGTTTCATACTCATATTATTTTTTTGCAATTAGTAAAATGAGTATTTAGGGGGGGAAAAAGTGTATTCCATGGTCTTTAGAGAGATCGGAATCGGTAATGTCTCCACTTGAGGAAGGAAGTGAGAGTTGATTGATTTGTACGTCTGAGGGTTAGATTTATTCAGATTTCTGTCCCATCTGGCTGAGCATTTTGACCCCTGAGCATTCCCTTCATTAACATATAAAACACATTTCCTTCGCATCTGAAGGAATGCTTCACTGGGTTAAACAGTGGCTTGAGAGAGAGTGAAAGGCTTGGAAAGTAAAAAAATCTGTTTGCTCACTCCTCCACTCATCATAGGTCACACAGGGTTGCAAAGCAAATAAAAATTCGTAATGAGTATAATCACATCAGAAATAGCAGCACTATTTCCAACGTTGACTTGCCGAGAGCCGCGCAGCCTAGTCGCTGACTGTCAATCAACGGGATGTCAAGTTAGTTATTCCTCTACCTGTGGATCTTAAAACAGATTAATTTAATGCTGTCACTTGAGTTGATGTCAACGGGAAATGCCATTAGCAACACATTTTACCTATTCAGACATTTTTTTACTTTTTTCACATTTTCAGTTTTTCAGCTTTCTTTAGTGTGTAATGTTGCTGTTTGAGCATGAAAAGGGTCTGCAAAGTTAGGTGTTTTTGGGACCAAACATGTCACAATATTCCTCATTTAAATAATTAATACGCAGAATAAAGGGGCGGGGCCTGGTTGAGTTAGCTAGTAGTGGGTTGAAACTGGCGGTAATGGTAAGGGGCGGGACATTTCACACACTCCAAGCACTTGACTAATCACAACACACTGCTCCAGCCGACCAATCAGAGCACAGCTTTTCAGAAGGAGGGGCTTCATAGAGACCGTAACAGCGGTGCATTTCCCGTACAGTGACGTAACTCGCTGCTTCACAACCATAGTACGATGCATCGTTGAAGAAATCAACTAGCTAGTCACGACTGTTTCCCGAAACCGTATTGTTCCAAATTGGTCGGTCAACCACGTTGGTTAATGATGTCACGCTTTTAATGAATCTGTTTGAGATCGAATTCGTGCTAGATGTTTTGCTATTAATTACAGATATGGCATCTGAGGAATATTTCAAATTTTTCTCCGTTATTTTTGCTTTATTTCCAGATTCAATCATAGGCTCGTTCTTACGCACTAGAGCACGTTCACACATGCGCAGTCTTCAAAAACAGTGCTTTAAATCTCTTGACAAACTCAAAGACGTAAATGACATTTGTATGTATTCTAAATAAAAGACACAGGTTGTACTGAATGTCAGCTTGCTTATTTTGCTCAAGATAAGGATTTATTGAGTCCACAAAGAAGAAACTGCTTCTAACCACAGGCCGAGAGCTGTCGCTCAAACACATACCTCTGCGATGCTGTTTGCGAATGTTCGTTGGAACGATGGTTTCGGGAAACATCGACTCGTTGAACTGCTGATAACGACGGAACTTGCGACCATAGTTGGCTAACGATGCTTTCGGGAAACACACCCCAGACTGGGAGAGCTGGATCAATGGAGAATATAGGGAAAATAATGTGTTTTTGAACATTCAAGCTTGAAAACCATATTCTATTAGAACTCAAAAACAAAAAAAAGACTTTGAAAAAGGGCTTAATGAGGCCTCTTTAATCTGACATATTTCCTATTGAAACAAAGTAGTTGGGTAATGATTGGCTTGTGAAATTATGCATAACATATCAAAATCTATTAGCACTGTTGGAGGCATTATAACTGTGTCATGAATATTTTTCTTGACCTCAACTACAGTGGTACACATTGAATTTGTCATTAAAATGTTATAATGGCCTCATGACAGCCAATGTCAAAACCAACCACATGACAGTTTAATGTAATGTTAACCCATAAAGCTAAGTGGTTTCTTAAGTTTGATAATTAATCTGTTATGTCATGTTTATGACATATTTATGTTGTCTTAGTAATGTCAAGTTGTCAGGTTATGATGTATTGGTTTATGTCAAGTTGTCATAACAAAGACATCTCAAACAATGTCATTTTTGCATTAAAAATGTCATAATTGAGCAAATGACACTTAAGGACAGTTGTCATAAACATGCCTAAAACCTCATGTGTCATGTCATGATTATGAAGGTGTCATGTCAGTCTTATGCACACCCCTTCAAGTAAAGTGTTACCAAGGATTTTATATTTATACGCTGAAAGCTCATGCTGCAACACAACAGAAGAACGTCAAGGTTTCGGGTTAGTGTTGATTTGTTGTGACTCGTCGCAGTCATCCTTGTTGAAACATTTATCTTTTCATGACTGAATGCCACACTCAAAGAAACAAATACTAAAATGGGATGCATGTCTCATTCAGTTGTTGTTATTTTCTGCAGCTGGAGCTGGGAATAAGATGGGTTGGGCTTTTGGACTCGGGCTGGAGAGGTTGGCCATGGTTCTGTTCGGCATCCCAGATATCCGACTTTTCTGGAGCGACGATGAACGTTTCCTGAAGCAGTTCCGCCTGTCTGACATCTATCAGCCTGTCACCTTCCAGGTAAGATTAACAGCATTTCTCACAAATAAGGATCTCGCCTGCTAACCATAAGGGCAGTTCACACACACGATAACAATAAAAAGTTTTTAATAATCGTTCTAATTCTGTGAGTCCATGCTACAGCAATACTAATAATGACACAAGAGGAACAATATCATTGGTGTGAACAGGCCTTCGGGTTTAATTGTAGGATGCCAATCGCAAAAAAACTAATTTTTGAGGTTAAAAACACGAGACACGGATCAGTGATACGAAAGCGTTTTTAAAAATCTGTGGCTTGCAGGAGACTCCTCAAAAGACTCGTAGTCAATGCTGTGAGTTCGGGTCAGGGCTATCCGTTAGCATTCTGTCTTAGCATTCATTATGTTGATTAGATATTGTAAATGTTTCATTCACCAATACATAAAAGGATCCAGAGTCAGACTAAGCTGAGCAGATTTCAAACCAGGTTTAATGTTTTTTCCTAGTGTGTATTTCTATTTTTTGTAAGTTTTGATGTGCTGTTGAGTAAAAATTCATATTCTGTGCCTCACTTTCTGCACCGCCTCTCTCCATCTTGTATTTTTTTCTCTTTGCTATTATACTAGGGGTCAAATGAACACGCGCAGTATGCTATCCCATAATAGTCAGTCATAAGCATAGCTGCAAGCGCACAGACCATGACAACCTCGGCTTTGCGAACTGAATCAATACATCTAATCTGAAAATACTGACACTAAATTCACAAATTCAGTGGTGAAGTGTAGTTTCAAGGTAAAGTGTAGTTTCAGCAAAAAAATATGCCGTTATTTGTTTCAAAACACTCCGCATCTGCTATTGGTCAGACACACATGCTGCCCCTCCCCCGACTCACGCCATTGGTTGAGCCAGTGGTGCCAAGCCCCTTAAACAAACAATAGTGCCACAGTGTTCAAGCTTTCTAAGGGGAATCAATCCCTGATGGTTTCCTTCTAGATGTCTATGAACATTAAACTAGGACAAGAGAAAGTATTTGAACATTTAATGCTTTTCTTTGTTTTTCTGTATTGCTGTTGCTCATCAAAGGCATGAATGCTCCAAACATGACCTTGTAAATGTCATACATGTCCTTTATTGTTGGGGGACCTTTGTCTATTAAAGGCTCAGACACTGAACATGTCCTCTTATAGCGGTGTGTGTAGCATGAGGCAGGCTTGCTCGTCCTGCAGGGAAGTGTGTGTGTGTGACTGATTACCTGTGCTCTCTCGGGCTGTAGGTCATTTCTCAGCCCATCTCCCTCTCTGCCCACTGTCCATTACTCAGAGAATGAGAGAGAGAGAGATTTGCTTGTCAGTTTGCCGGATGCTCTGCTGGGTTTATATATGACTGTCTCTCTGTCTGTCTCTCTTTCCACTGGTAATGAGGTATGACCGTAGGGTCAGCGCTCTCCTTCGGCCTTGTGTGCTTTGCTGTGTCCTATGAGAGCAACATGCACAACACACACACGATAAATCACTGCACACAATACGACGTGCCGTATGACACACATACAGACTCTACACACACTCTTACCCAAAAACAAGAAGTGCAATGCAGGTTTTCTTTAGACAAGCATACTGTCCACACTTTAGAAGCCTTACGAACACTAACAGAATGCTTACATGATCTCTATGGTGCATTTTCATCCACATCAAGAACATTAGCATATGACCAAGGGCATATTTTTGCCATAGGGCATAATATATTCATAGTTTTCATTGTTGGTTGGTAGATTACTAAAGGACAGGCGATTTATGGTTGACTTGTGGTTTAAGCAGGTTTGGTTCGGTGTCCCACGCTGACAAAGCTGGTTTTTGGTTGGCTATATTGATGCACCTACATTTTTTATTACTTTTTTTATTACATTTTTCATTTATTCAAAAACCAAAACCTAAAATGGAAGTCAATTGATTAATTAAATAATTAATAACACTCAATTAAATTCAACAGTAGGCAGTTTTTATATTAACTATATCAATATTTGATATAAATTATATAATTATGTTTCTACTCCAATGCATTGTTGTTGAAATATAAACATTTAAATGTTAGCTTTAATAATAATTTGTTTTCATGACAGATTTATTCAAACATACTTAAAATAATGAAGGCACCACTAAGTTTTTTTTATTTTTTATTTTATTTTATTTTTATTTAACAGACAGACATTCAGACCAAAATAGTGCATTAACGAACAATATAGTAATTTTAAAATTCCAGAAGTGAAAATAACTGTGTGTGTGTGTGTGTGTGTGTGTGTGTGTGTGTGTGTGTGTGTGTGTGTGTGTGTGTGTATGTGCATAAGCAAAATAACCATTTATTATTTATTACCATCATCATCACCACCACTCCTCACTACCAACATACTACCAACATTGTATTAGTCAATTTTAATTTTTATTCTTATTTCCATCTTTCCTCCTATGTAACAATTACCATTGTCAGCACTCTTCAAAAATAAAAGATACTTTAATAAGATAATATAAGATAACCCTCCCCCCACATCTCTTCAATCCCTATTTTCTCCTAAAAATTATTTATTTATTTATATATATATATATATATATATATTTTGTATGTTATGTGTAGTGTTTAAGGTGCATTAAAACAAGGGGTACAGTGTGAGAGGCACCACTAAGTTAAGTAAAAATATAATGAATAATTATATACTGTATATTTAGCTCCTATCTACAGTTATTTTTTCTAGCATTTATGGACTATAAATGGCTTTTTTTTTTTTTAGATAAATGTAACCTTACGTGTCATATTGTTTACACTTGTTTTATGGCGTCTTTCAATGAGACATAAATCATTTCAGTAAGTTATACTGTATCTTTCAACATTCCTCCTGACATTCATTCATGTTTATTTCATGCTATAACTAGTAGTAAAGAGGATGACCGGTGATGATCGGTTCACATGCCGCTTGTCTTGAACTGAGGCATTAAAGAGTGACAAAATGACAATTATTGCTTGACTTTCATTATAAAATGTACAGAATTTGAAAGCTGAGACTTTGTTTCATATCAAAAGTTACAAAGTATATTGCGATGTGAGGCGTGCTTCAAAATTATTTAGAGCACATTTGTTTATGCGTCATCTGAAAAAAATCAGAGATTATTGATCTTGGGATTTAATAATCGATATCAAACTGAAGATCAATTTAAATTTAGATATCGATATTGTCAACCCACGTCCACACAGCCCACAAGTTTACCTGTTTTAGCTTATCCATGAAGACTCAAAACAGGGCGTCTGGGAAATTGTGTACGTGGCCATTGTACGTTTTTGCTTTATCATTCTTGGAACGCCGCTCTGCCAATCAAATTAGAGGAGCAGAACGGCTGAATGATAATGATGTAAACACACACTTACCTACAGCAAGGAGGTTGGTTTGAGGTAGTTTATCATCTTTCATGACCCCCTCCTTACAGGTTTCATATCATTCAGCGGATCTGTTTTCTCTTCTCTTGTGAAAGACACTGCTGGTGCTTTATAAGTATAAGGAGAGTTTCTGAGAGCCGCGAGCGACTGTTGTAAGCAGACTAGCCCATGACTGGCCTCAGGATGTGACTGTAGACTTAACCTCAGACTGAAGAGATGTGTGTGTGTGTGTGTGTGTGTGTGTGTTGTACAACTATCTTTTTGAGGCCCGGTTTGAGACCAGTGGAGTGAGGAAAAAGAGAGTGACCCGTTCCTCACTTTCTGAGAGCCCTTGTTTGTGTGTGAGGCTTGTTTGAGGGTCAAAACTTGGTTTTAGGGATAAGGTTATAATTAGCTTAAGGGTCGGGTTAGGGTTAGGGTTAGGGTTAGGCACTTAGTTGTGATGGTTAGGGTTAGGAGCTAGAGATTGGATTGTCAATGAATGTCCTCAAAAAGATAGACGTACAAGTGTGTGTGTGTTGTGCCTGACTGAATGACTGAATTAGGTGAGGTTTTGGATAAGCATTGTCAAAAATCTCTTTTCGCATCATTTTTTTCTTGCATGCATTGTTTTTTTAGTAATTAGAAATGATTAAAAAAGCTGAAGAGTGGCTTCTTCCTGGAGAGCAAACTGATTTTTTTTTTTTTTTCTTGAATTTCTATTGGTAGCTTTGTCTGAGTATAGTAATAAAGTGAAATCATTACTTGGTCAGCAAAAAGTTTAATCTCTCCCTCCACCATAACTCCATCAAAAGTTTTAAACCAATGACACTATTTTAAAATAAAAAAAAATGGCTAAAAATACATTTAAAATGTGAGTAAATGTCAGGCTAATAAACTAAATTTCTTGGCAGAAGTGTTTATTGTAAATAATTAGAATTCTGTATTTAGCATTGGTGTATTTTTAAAATGTTTGCTTTTGCTGCCATTTTTCAAAAGCAGTAACACTTATTCTGCTATAAGTAGTCCTTATTTCCACCCGTTATATTATTTTTATCCTTGTGCTTCTCTACACGTGTCCCAAACACACATATATCTCTCATTTCTGTTTTTCTCCCCATCGCAGCCTCTCAGTAAGTACCCTCCGCTCTTCAATGACATCTCTTTTTGGCTGCCGGCCGAAGGTTACACAGAAAACGACTTCTACGACCTGGTACGCAGCATCGGAGGAGACCTGGTGGAGAAGGTCACGCTGGTGGACGAGTTCACGCATCCAAAGTAAGAAATCCAACATGCCAGATACAAACATGAGCCGGAACAAACACAGTGGCCAAACGGCCGTTCCAGTTGCACAAGGACAATTATCTATCAAAAATGTATTTATCAAAAAGGCAACGGTCCTAATCTTTATCAGTATTTATAAGTGCTTTTCAGTAAATATCTTTAAAAAAAAATCTATGAAATAATATAAATTAAGTTAATAAATGAATAGGTATTAAGATGTGTTTTCAGAGTATATGTGTATAGTAACCTTTTGTTTTAATATTTTGTATTAAAAAAATATATAAAATATTTTTTTATGAAATGTGTATTCACTCACATATAGAGCTAAATCACAAATTTTAGCTTTAGATATTTAAAAAAATAAAATAATAATATTTATATACACAATGGTTCCTTAAATTTTCATGTTTATTATTTTATTATAATTTTTTAGAAATATTTCTATGCAATGATTGCATAAGGTGTCTTTACACAGACTTTTTAATGTTGTATAAATTTGGTATCAGTTCATTTACACAGCAATATCACCGGTATACTGTGACACTAGGGGCTGAGGTGGGGCATAGCAGGCATAATGCAGTCTGGCTTTAATGCAGCATTATGTCTTTACAACGACTTTTGAGCAGGCACAGAGCAGCCTTAACTCTGCTGTGTGAAGAAGCCTATAAATACAGCAAATGAAATAGACAAAATACATTAAAATGTCATTACATTATGTGACCAAAAGTCTATTCTTCACTGAATGCATGAATGAATGAGAGAGAGAGCATGCACGCACAGCTGTTGATCCAACATGAAGATTTGAGTAAATTGCTGTGTTCTGTCATGTTTCTTTTTGTTCATTTCTATTAGTCGTTCTTTGCAGTCATTGTTGAAGCTCGTGGCGATGCAGGGGAGAATGCTAATGCTCTTGCGCGGCTGTTGGCAGTGTGGCGTTCATCTATTGACTGAGGAGCAGGGGTCAACAATGCTTAATGGCTTCGTTTTCAACTCTCCATTTTATGTTGGATGGTGTTTGTCAGGCTCTTCAAACTCATTAGCTCTTTCTTCCGCCGTCCATTCACAAACACTCTCACAAACCACAGAACGATCCACGTGATTTTCCCAGAATGCAGTTCATACGACACAGCTCTTCCTGAACACGTCTACTTTAGTGGACTGCAGACGCTGTACTCGGGTTGCCCTTTTTCTGTTTCCTCGCCCTGTGACATCAATAATTCATTTTTAAAGAGGATGAGAAGTTCACCTGCGGGCACAGCGGTCCGACTGTCCCGAGTCCCCTCTACTGGAACAGACCGTGTGTGTGTGTGTGTGTGTTAAATGATACAGCGAGAACCTGCAGTGCGTAAAAGAGACGCAAACATTCATCTCTGTCCCTGCTCTTAATCTTTTTTAAATAGCAACCTTTTCCCTCCCCTTCCCCTAATGACATCCATAAATAAGATGACATCATGAGGTGCTGCAAGGCTGTAATAGCCCATGGGCCAGCTAGAAATTGAAAGAGATTGGTGTTTGTTTTGCTCTCTTTCTAATTCACTTCGGTCCAGACCTATGTTTGTGCACACATTTCTTCGAAAACAAATATATTAGTTGAACAGTTTATATAATAGTTTGCGATTCGTCACGCTATAAGTGTATTTCCACTGCGAAAGTACTTTTGTAAGTCGCTGTAATGTACGTGTGTGTGTGTGTGTGTGTGTGTGTGTTGCTGAAATCTCCTGCAGCTAATTTCCTCTTTATGATCATTTTGCTGCAGTTGCGTCAATGCCTGTAAGCTTTGCTTCATACTTTCTACAGCCAGCCAGCCAGAGAGAGAGAGAGAGAGAGAGAGAGAGAGAGAGAGAGAGAGAGAGGGGGAAAGGGCGAGGGAGACGTCAATACTTACTTTAAACCACTTCTCCAACTTCAAATCACTAATTACATCGAGAGGGCGGCCAATCACATCTCATCTAGCCTCCAACTGTCTCTGACCGCCAGAAATGTCACATTCACAATATTGTGCTAATCATTTTCTCTCTTTTTCTCTGCGGTACTGCTGACTCGGGCAGTTTGGAGAGCTGCTAATATGATGAGATTGGCAGCAAGTCTCCCATCATAGTCTTCCTCAGTGCGGTGAGGACATTTCTGGCATCAGACGTGCCCTGAGAGAGCCATCAGAAACATAACAGTTTTCCTTTGTGCTCGCTGTTTTACTTATGATAACACCGCAGGGTTTACCCTCAAAAATGAGCAGGTTTTGACAAATTTGCGGGAATGTCGTCAATACAAAACAATGAATATCTAAGATTACAATTCTTTATATATATATATATATATATATACACTCACCTAAAGGATTATTAGGAACACCATACTAATACTGTGTTTGACCCCCTACACCACCACTACCAGCCTGCACAGTGGTAACAAGGCATGATGGATCCATGTTCTCATTCTGTTTACGGCAAATTCTGACTCTACCATCTGAATGTCTCAACAGAAATCGAGACTCATCAGACCAGGCAACATTTTTCCAGTCTTCAACTGTCCAATTTTGGTGAGCTCTTGCAAATTGTAGCCTCTTCTTCCTATTTGTAGTGGAGATGAGTGGTACCCGGTGGGGTCTTCTGCTGTTGTAGCCCATCCGCCTCAAGGTTGTGCGTGTTGTGGCTTCACAAATGCTTTGCTGCATACCTCGGTTGTAACGAGTGGTTATTTCAGTCAAAGTTGCTCTTCTATCAGCTTGAATCAGTCGGCCCATTCTCCTCTGACCTCTAGGATCAACAAGGCATTTTCGCCCACAGGACTGCCGCATACTGGATGTTTTTCACTTTTCACGCCATTCTTTGTAAACCCTAGAAATGGTTGTGCGTGAAAATCCCAGTAACTGAGCAGATTGTGAAATACTCAGACCGGCCCGTCTGGCACCAACAACCATGCCACGCTCAAAATTGCTTAAATCACCTTTCTTTCCCATTCTGACATTCAGTTTGGAGTTCAGGAGATTGTCTTGACCAGGACCACACCCCTAAATGCAGTGAAGCAACTGCCATGTGATTGGTTGATTAGATAATTGCATTAATGAGAAATTGAACAGGTGTTCCTAATAATCCTTTAGGTGAGTGTGTGTATATATATATATACACACACTATTTTTCTATTTTTCAAAACACTATTTTACTTTTATCTATTTTTTCTTTTTTAAATCATAAACATGATTTTTTTTCATCTTCTCTTTGGATTATTAGCAAATATGCTCATTTGAATTAAAACAATTATGCCTGTCGTAATGACATTATCATTTTTCAGGAAGTGAACTATTCAAGGAGTTCAAGTCTCCTACTTTTATCAAATCATCTTGTTTTTTGTTTTTTACAATTCTCAGTGGGGCACAATATTACAAGTCAACCCTGTTTCCATCATTTTGTATAGTAAACAACTGTTCTTTTAAAAGTGAGCATTAAATGGTCTTTCCCAAAAGTACTTTATAGTTTCACAACCTTGAGCACAGGGCTTGTAAAACCACACAATAAGTTGTAAAACTGTCCACCGTTACCATCACCCCTGTTACCTTTCTGAAGGTATTATAAACATTTAGACACATTATAGTATTCCAAAACCTACTGTATAGTTTCACACCTTGAGCACAAGGCTCGTAATGTCAAATTAAACAGTAAAACTGTCCACCGTTTCAGTCAACCCTGTTTCCATAATTTTGTGTAGTAACAAAAAAAACAGATCATTTAAACGTGAACATCAAAATATCCGCATTAAGTCTCTTTCCCAAAAGTGCTGTATAGTTTCACAACCTTGTAATAATGACAAATTAAAACATAAAACTGTCCACCCTGTTACCATCAACCCTGTTTCCATATGTTTGTATAGAAAACAACTTATGATTTAAAAGTGAGCATTAAATTGTCTTTCCCGAAAGTACTTTATAGTTTCACAACCTTGAGCAAAAGGCTTGTAAAAACAAATGAAATTGTAAAACTGTCCACCCTGTTACCTTTCTGAAGGCATAATTTCAGAATGTTCCGTCAAATATTGAAATCTATGAATGTAGCTTGGGATAGGACAATGTCATTTATTAACATTTAAACACATGCTATGGTGTTATGGGCGGCTGCCAAAGCGTGGCTGAGTGATTTGCGGTGCATTACTGTTAGGATTGGGTCAGGACGGTTGATGATCTATAATAGTCCAACAGCTGATGATAGAAGATTATCTATCATTGTTTTCTTGTATTTTTGCTTCATCATTTTGAATTTAGAGGCACAAGTTCTCGAAGAGAAGGGGTTTAGTGTGCTGGCAGTGTTAACATTCATGTTGTTCAAACAGTGCTGGATGATTTATGCATCAAAGTGTAATACTTTAAACTTTAAACAAACCCCTAAACTTAAATTTGAGCAATAGTGATTGTGTTATTTGCTTAAGCAAATGCTACTAAAAATGTCATTTTTCCCCTGCGACTCTACATCGCTGTGTAAGCGAAGACAAAAAATCAAACAAAAGAGCAAAAATATTGCAGTGTTTTTATCAGAACTTCACTTATTTGTACTGTAATTTAATCAAGTTTCTCAGCAGGCCGTATCTGCTGACAGAAGGTAAATCTACACGCGATCTGTTGCTAACAGTATATTCGTGGTTGTACTCAACCCTACTGCAGATTCCCCTTACGACTGAAATGTAAAACCCAAAGGTTGGAAGTCATTTATAGTAAGCTGAGATATATTTTAGATGTATTTGTGGCACGCGCATCCTTGGCTTCAGACAGCATGAAAGAATCAGGTGTGCCTATCATTTATTCCGTTTCCAAAAATGTTTCCGGAAAATAGTTTGCTGAAGTTTTTTCGAGTTGCCCAGATTGACAAATCAAATCGTAATGTTTCAACTTAGACAGTTAGAGAAGAGGTAAGTTGCATTATTAGAAGAATATGTGCAGGTTGTGAAATAGGCATCTGAATGTTAAAAAGGGCCAAATGTCACATTCAAGATTAACGTTTTCCAACCGT